CAAAATGAGTGACCCTAGAGGACATTATGCTCAGTGAAATATCTCAGGTACAAAAGGACAAATACTGCATAATGCTACTGTTATAAAACAGGACTGACATCAGGGTTGGGGAGACACTAAGAAAAGAGTAGATAAATAATGTACACTGCATTGAAACAGATGAGGGAAATAACTGTTTATAAGGAATATATTATTAGGTATTATTTGTATGACAACAGTCCAGAGGTGCATAGCAAATTGGATTGAGGCTGGGGGGTAGGGAGGAAATTGTGCAACAATAAAACAATCTTTTTAAAAGAAGTTTTCTACTAGTTCATTTACAAAATTCAAACACATTGTTTTTAAGAACAAATTATTTCAATTTCGCTCACCCTGATCCCATCAATTTGTATAACCCCATGATTAATCTACCCTCTCCCTGCGTGTGCTCATCCCTTTGTTTCCACCCTCTCCCACCCCTCTTGGATCCTTATATTCATTCTACAATAATGGTTTTATACAATATTTATCCTTGTGGTACCGAGTTAATTCACTCAGCATAATACTCTCCAGTCCCTCCCAAGTTACACAATAATTTACAAAATCATTGCTTCTGCATGCTGTGTAGTATTCCATTGTGTGAATATACCATAATTTCTCAATCCTTTAATTTGTGGTTAGACATTTTGGCTGTTTCCATGTTCTTGTGGTGGTGAATAATGCTGCTATGAACATTGGTGTGCAAATCTCCATTTGTGCTTCAGTTCTCATTTTTTCAGGATATATTCCAAGTAGTGGAATAGCTGGGTCATATGGAATTTCTATGTTCATCTTTTTTGAGAAAGAAAACTTTTTAAAGAGAACTGGGTGTGGGGTAGGGAGGAAAATATACAATAGTGAATAAATGTAAATCTAAATCTAAGTTATACACACACACACACACACACACACAGATGATCACAACAATTTAAGACTACTTGCCTATCATAAATAAAACCAGAAAAAAAAATAAAGAAAAGGAGCTCTGGTGGCTTAGTGGTAAGCCATTGCACAGCCAACCCATAAGCATGTTGTTCAAATCCATCAGCTGTCCTACAGCAGAAAAATGAGCGATCTCTTCCTGTGCAAATTATAACTTCTGAAAATTCACTGAAGGGGTCAGCTATGAGTTGGTTCTGACTTGCCAGTACATAGTAATAACCCCCTTGAAAAATTGCCTTACTAAAAGTTAGAGATTATAATATTCACAACAAATTGCTGTAAATTTGTTATTATTATTTTTTGTTATACACTATTTTAATTCAGTTATATGTGCCATTTAGAGGAAGAGGGCACTGGATAAGAACTACATCTTTTTGATGTTTCATGTCATGCTTTATAAGTTCTCAGAATATAAAAAATCTTTCACGGGTCAATGACAAAATTCCAAAGTACATAAGCTACAGGTTGTTGCTGTTTGTAGGAGCTTTTGAGTAGAGTACGACTCATAGTGACTCTATGTATAAAAGATCTGACCCTTGTTCTATCCTGTGTCATCCTCACACTTCATGACACGCAAGAGCCCATTGTGGCAGTCACCATGTCAGTGCACCAATTGAGCATCTTCTTCTCTTTCACTGACCCTCTATTCTTCCCAGTATCATGTTTTTTTCCAAGGAATAACCCCTCCTACCAACACACCCATAGTATGTGAGGCAAAACCTCATCATTCTTCCACTCTGGCTGCATCCTCTCCAAGACATACTTGTTTGTTCTTTTGACAGTCCATCAGATGTTCAGTGCTCTTCTTCAAAACCACAGCCCAAATACATTAATTCTTCTGTTGTCCTTACTCATTGCCCTACTCTCAGATGCATAGCTAGTGATTGAAAAAACCATGGCCTGAATCAGACACACATTAGTCCTCAAACTGGTATCATTACTCCTCAATAATTTGGAGAGGTCCCTAACTGCAGATTTTCCAAGTGCAATGCGTTTTATTTCTTGACTGCTGGTACCAAGGGTGTTAATTGATAATTTCAATCTCCTCCATCCATCATGATATTGCCTATAAGTTGAGTGGTAAGAATCTTTGTTTTCTTGACATTGAGATCCAATCCACACTGAAGGTTGCATTCCTTGATCTTCTGCAACAAGTGCTTTAAGTTCTCTTCAGAGCCTGTGAAATTATTCATGGCTGACACTGATGAGAGGATCAGAGTTTTTACCCTAAAGGCAGAAGACAGTATGACACCCAGAGACTCTTGTTATGTCCCAGGAAAAACATATCTGTGGGATATTTTGATATAACCTATTGCCAGTATGCTAAGATTTTTATAAATGCATGTAATAATAATGTTTTTAGCTATTGCTATTGTTGTTGTTATGTGCCATCGAATTACCTGCAACTCAAAGTGACCCTATGTACAACAGCTCTGAAACCTACTCTGTCCTGAACCTGTTTCATTGACTGTGACACATCTACCCCCATTCATCTTCTCTGGGGTTTTCTTCTCCTGCACTGTCCCTCCACCCTTCCGGGCCTGATGTCCTTTTCCAAGGACTGGCCCCTTCTGGCCACATGCCCAGTGTATGTGAGACAGAGCTTCAAAATCCTAGGAAAGAGCCAATGTGAAAAACTACGTATATGAACTTTGGAAGTAAACCAGTATTTAAAAAAATTGATAAATCCTGGCCTCCAAGGAGAAACTTGGATTCATCCTTTGTAAGACATACCTATTTATTTTTCTTAGCATTTCATGGTATGTTCAAGACTCTTTTCCAGCACCACAACTCAAAGACATCAATTCTTCTGTCACCTTTAATAATTTTTCCAATTCTGTGATACATAGTAAGTAATTGTCAGGACTATGGCCTGGATTGGGCACACCTTAGTCCCTAGACTGACATTGTTGTTTCTCAGTACTCTGGAGAGATTGCTGCCAGCAGATTTTCCCAGTGCTATTTATTTGTCTTTTGCTTTCTTGATTGCTGGTGCCAAGAGTGCTGGCTGGGGAGCTGAGCAAGCTGTAGTTGTTAACAACCTCAGTCTCCTCTCTATCTATTATGGTGCTGCCAATTGGCCCAGTGGTGAGAATCTCTGTCTTCTTCATGTTGCAAGGAGAATTTATTCCTTGGAGAAGGACACCATGCTTGGGAAGGTGGAGGGTCAGAGAAAGAGAGGAAGACCCTTGACCAGCTAGATTGACATGGTGAGTGCCGTTATTTGCTCTAATACATCCGAAAGTGTGAGGATGGCACAGGATAGGACAGGGTTCAGATCAGAGTTCATAGGGTTACTATGAGGCGTACTTGACTCAGTGGCACCTACCAACGACTGTAGAATTCCATTAATAGGAAATAGAAAACCACGGAAAACTAACCTATGGTAATAGCATCATGATAGATGGTGAAGAGATTGAGACTGTTGACAGCTTTAGTTTGTTTGGCTCTATAATCAACACTCTTGGTACCAGCAGCCAGGAAATGAAAAGATGAATTGCACTGGGAAAGTCTGCTGTCAGAGACCTCTCCAAGGTACTGAGGAGCAACAATGTCAGTCTGGAGATTAATCTGCACCTGATCCAGGCCATGATCTTTCCCATTACTTGCTATGCTTCAGAGAGCTGGACAATGACTAGGGATGATAGAAGGAGAGTTGATGCCTTTGATCTTTGGTTCTGGATAAGAGTATTGAATATACATTGGGCTGCTAGGAAAACAAACAAGTTCATCCTGGAGAGGGTGAAGACAGGCTGCTCCTTGGAGGCAAGGATTCTGAAGCTTCATCCGATGTACTTCAGGGATGTTGCAAGGAGGGACCAGTCCTTGGAGAGGGACATCATGCTTGGGACGGTGGAGGGACAGCACAGGAGGGGAAGGCCCTCTATGAGGTGGGTTGATTCTGTCATTAGGGTATTGGGGATAGGCATGTTGGAGACAGTGAGTTTGGCAAGGGATAGAGCAGGGTGTAGGGCTGTTGTACTTAGGGTTGCTATGAGTTTCAAATGCCTCGACGGCACATAATAACAACAACAACAACAATAGATATCAGCAGTTAGTATATTTTGGGGTGTGTGGAGTCTTTTGAGGTGCCGAAATGTTTGTTTCTTTATCTGGGTGCTGGTCCTGTGGGAATATTCGTACTAAAAATGTGTCAAGTTGTGTTATTAGTATTTGCATATTTTCCATATTTTCTTTTATGTAACTACTTAATACTTGCATCAAAAAGAAAACAATCTTTGCATCCTTTGTCCTGAGAACTGTATTTTATATTACCATCAATTTTATTAGGGGCTCTAGTGCCCCAGTGGTTAAGTATTCAGCTGTTAACTGAATCATGGGTGGTTCAAATCCACTAGCTTCTCTGTAGGAGAAAAGACCTGGTGATATACTCCCCTAAAGATTATAGTCTGAGAAACCCTGTGGGCGGTTCTGCTTTGTTCTATAGGGTCACCATGAATCAGAATCAACTCAACAATACACAGCAACAGTAATGTTAAATGTTCAGAGGGTTTCCAATCTTTAATATCCTTTCCTGTGCATAAAGATGTGCTGACAGCTGGACACCTTACAGGCTGCAGCCCATCTAACCTTGGTAAGTGGCCCCATTTCAGAGTTGGCCTCGAGCTGACAGGCATATTGTGAGGGTCGTGCTTCATCTCGTTGACAGCTGGAGTTGTCACGGCAGCAAAGCCCAGAGAAAACCAGGCAGTGGACTGTGCTTCCCACCCTTAGGCTGCGAGGCACAAGCCCCAGCAATGGAAAGATTAAAAAGCCTCTCAATTTAAAGAGACAAGGGGGAGGGGAATGTGGGCTGCACAATTTATAAATAGACATTGCCCGAGGCTGCCTGATGGTGAAATGGTTGTTTAGTAAATCTTTCTCCTTTAGGGATTCTATTACCAGGGACTATTGTGAAAGACCACTTTTGCTTTGTCTTTTGGGGGGAGAGCTTGGGTTTCACCAAGCCAGCCCTGTTGGATACTAGTTCTCTCTGCCGGATTCAGGCACAGGCCTTCAGCATTTTGAATCACCTTTCCATGGAGCACAAAGATGATGATGATGATGATATATCTTTTGCCAAATGGATGAGCAGCTTCTGGGGTCACAGCTGCACAGAGGAGGATGAGAGGAAACTCCGGGAGCGCCATCGACCACAAGCCGCAGGTTACAGGAAAACCTCCCTGCCCTGCCCCGTGAGTCATACAGGGCAGGGGACACCTGGGATTGGGGGGATTGCTTTTAGATAATCTTTGGAAGCACTCTGGGAAGTACAGTTTTCCTTGGCTCAAAATTTTCCAAACCATATTTTTGTTTGTTTTGTATTGACAAAAATTGCTTTTAAATAAGTCTTATCTTCAAGGGGGCCTGATTGTCATCTAGGAGGTAAATGATTTATTCATTTTCAGTAATCTGAGATCTTAATCTGCCAGTTGGGAGCTCCTGGTAAGCCTGAGATAATCCCACTGAGTGATGTGTTGTTGTTGGATGCCTTTGAGTGGGTCGACTCATGGCGACTCATGTGTTTCTAAGCAGAACTGTTGCAGAGAGTTTTCTTGACTCTAATCTTTATGGAAGCAGTTTGCCAGGCCTTTCTTCTGTGGAATCATTTGATAAGTTTCAACTGCCAGCCTTTGGGCCAGCAGTGAACTGCTTGCTGTATCTGAGCAACATGATTCAAACTCAAGGAAAGAAACTCGTTATGATTAGTGGTGTGTGCAGCATTGTTCTGAGGAAGTGTGTTACTTTCCACTAGAGAGGTTTTGAAATACTGAAATTAGCTCAATTGGTGGACATTGGGGGCCTGGGGGTTGTAGCTAACAAATCACTCCCTTTGGTGCATTTTTAATATATTTTTTTCTTCTCTGCTGTTACCTGGTTTTTGAATAGGGGAGTGATGCAAAATTCTTTTGCCTTCAACACTGTTTTCCTATAGCTAAGCAGAGGGTTAAACAGAGGCCCTAGGGTCTAGGGAGCAAGGGTCCAGCAAGAAAGCAGAGAAGGGAATGAGAGGCCTTGGAAGACAGCACAGACAGCAGATCTCTCTGCTCAATTGCAGTAACTCGAAGGCCACACAGAGCATACGCATGTCTTCTGCTTCACAGTTACACAGCCGTAAGACAGTCTTTCTTTTTCACAAGTCACCTCATAGAATTCCAGCCACTGGAAAACAGTTTCCTGACCCTCTGTGTCTGAAGACTTTAGAACTCTCAAGTAAGATTTGTTGTTAGATGCTGGACAGTCAGCTCAGACCCCAGAGGGCATTAAATACAACAGAACAAAAGTTGCCTGTGTAATCTTCTGTTGGAGTCCATTGTCTCAGTGACACTGTTCTCTATCAGTCCATCTCAGTGAGTGTTTCTCCCAGCTCTTCAGTTAAAAATAAAATTTCAGGGCAATGTTTTTTTCTTTTTTTTTTTAAAAAAGGTCTAGGGTTCCCATGATGTACAATGCCTGTGAGATACATTAAAATATGTAAGGCAACCTTAATTATTCCCAGAGATTAGCAAATTTGAGGGATGAGTTCTCTTGAGACACAAGCAAAATAACTCTCTTACCAAATACATATTCAAGGACAAAGAGCAAGTTTCAACATCTGTCTGAGCTTTTCTTCAAGTGAAATATGAAATGACTGGATGACCTCAGGGGCTCCTTCTACCTCAAACTTTCCAGAATTTTTATAAAATAGACCCCTTCTACTCTGTGTTGCATAAGATAGAGACCACTTCTACTCTGTATTGCTTGGGGTTGCCAGGAATAAAAATTAAATCAATAGTCACTATCCTTTTTCAAATTAATATAAGCTAAATATTAGATTATCACACTCTTTTTAATCTCTTATGTTCCACTAAATGAGGTATTCATGGTGTATGAAACAGTAGCATAATTAGTTTTATCACTACTAATTTTTAGAGAGTAAGAGCCAGGAACAAACAGAAAATCCCCCGATTTTTAATTTAGCATAAGAGCCTTTTGGAGTCACAGAAAATACGAAACCAAACCCCCCCCAAAACAAAAAAAACCAACCCCAAAACAAAAAAACACACACTTGCAAAATACAGTTTTTTAAATAAATTGTAGCATCAACCAGGCTTTTCAAACTGAGATAATTCACTCTATTTAGAGATACTCACTTTTAGGTTGCAATGTTCTTCTTAAACTATTGAGAAATAGCAGAATCTGTTATGGATAGCATTCTTAAATGGGGTTCAAATGACCTCTTTTTCTGCTTGCCCTTGCTGCAGGCAGTGACCTGAATTAACCTGTTCAGATTCTGAGTAAACAGTGAATTCCATAATTATCAGAACAACCTACTGAAAGCATGTCTTTATTCAGGGAGAAAAAAACTCATGGAACAAAAGTTAAAGCCTGATTGAACAGAGTTGAAAAAGAGCAAATACAGAATACCCACCAGGAGACCCAGAGGAGCTATTGCGCAGAGACCTGGAAGGTCATTTCGATTCCTGTTGACCTGATTGGAAAGAGTAGATCTACCATGGGGTTGCCAAGGCCGTATATCTTTTTGGAAGTGACTACTGCATCTTTCTCCCACAGAGTGGCTTGGCCTGTTTCAAATACTGAACTTCTAGTTAGCAGTCAGAAACTTTAACCAATAAAGCACTGAGTTTCCTTTGAAGATAGTTGTTGTTAGGTGCCATTGAATTGGATACAACTCATAGCAACTCTTTGTTGTTATTTTTTTAAATAAAACTTATTTTTATATTTGTTTGCTTACAAAGTTCATATATGTTGTTTCTCACACCAGATCTTTCCCATTTCTTTTACCCACTCCTCCCTCTACCTATCAAATTGTGTGACCCTATGATTAACCCCCCACTCCACTCCCACCCATCCTCACCACTCTGCTCCCGCTCACCCTCTTTTGGATCCTCATACACATTTTACTAGTTATCTTTCTATTTCTACAATAATGGTCCTATACAGTATTTGTCTTTATGGGGCCCAAGTTAGTTCACTTCATAATGCTCTCCAGTCTCTCCCATGTTATGTAGTAATTTTCAAAATGATTGTTCCTGCATGCAGCTTAGTACGCCATCATGTGAATGTATCAATTTCTCAATCCATTGTGGTTGAGATTGTGGTTTGACATTTGGGTTCTTTCCATGTTCTTGCATTGGTCAATAACACTGCTATGATCATTGGTGTACCATTAGTGTCCCAGTTCCAATTTTCTCTGGCTACATTCAAAGCAATGGAATAGCTGGTCCATATGGGATTTCTATGTTCACCTTTTTGAGGAAACACACAAACTGCCTTCCAGAGAACTTGTCTCATTTTACAATCCCACCAACAATGTATAAGAGTTCCTATTTCTTCACATCCTCTCCAATATTTATTGCTAGCTGTTCTGTTAAACTTTGCCACTGCTACTGGGGTGAGATGGTATCTCATTGTGGTTTTGATTTCATAGCAACTCTTTGAACAACAGATATGAACCCTGTTCTGTCCGGTGCCGTCTTAATAATCTCTGACACAAGTGAGCCCATTGCTGTTTGCAGTGTGTTTGGCAAATCTGGTTGAGGGTCTTCCTTTCTTTGATTAACCCTGCACTTTTTCTTGCATGATGTCTCATCCCTTTCCAAGGCATAGCCTCTCCTAGGAACATAGCCAAATTATGTGAGGTGAAGCTTTGCCATCCTGGCTTTTAGGAAGCACTTTGGCTGCACTTTTCTAGACTTACCTGTTCTCTTGGCAGTCTGTGAGATATTCAGTGCTCCAACACCACAATTCAAAGGCAGCAATTCTTTTTCCTTCATCCTTATTTATGGTCCAGCTTTCAGATGCAAAAGACACATGCATGAATTAGGCACATCTTAGTCTTCAAACTGACATCATTTCTCCTCAGCAATTTGGGGAGGTCCTTGACAGCAAACTTTCCCAATGTAGTATATTTTCTGATCTCTTGACTTCTGGCACCAAGGGCATTGATTGTGGATCCAATTTCAATCTTTTCTTCATCTATCATGATGTTACTTTTTTATCTGTCCAGTCTTCTTGATGTTGATAAGTAATCAATATTGAAAACTTAACCTCTGATTCCAAAGAAAGTAGTTAAGGAGCTTGATTCTTCATACTTTCTGGTGGCAAACTTATAGAAAAGTGAATTGTCCTGCAAAACCAAAGGCTTTCTGGTAGTTCAAATCCATCAACAACCCCTTGGAAGAAAGATGAGCAATCTCCTCCCTGTAAAATTATAGCCTCGGAAACCTCAATAACACTGAGATACTTTTTTAAAAATTATTTTTATTTTATATTGGTTTGCATACAAAATTCATATAAATTGTGTTTCATTTATACACATTGTGTTTTACCCATTCCTCTCTCACATTGTGTTCATATGATCATTCCCATTACGTTGTATTTTACAAACATAATCACCATTGATTCATGACCAATTGATCCACCATTGACCCTCTTTTCAGGTCCTCACTGGATCTTTCCAATTCCTTCACCTCCTCCCTCTGCCCTTCAGTCTCTGTGACCTCATGATTTCCCCCCTCCGTCCACCCTCAGCCTCCCTCCTCCCTCAGCCTCCCTCCTCCTTCCACTTCCCACTTTGGACTTTTGTACACATTTTACTAGTAGAAATTATTCTACTTTTACAATAATAGCCTTATGTGATATTTGTCTTTATGAGACTTAATTTACTTAACTACTGCTCTCCAGCAACTCCCATGTTATATAGTATCTTTTGAAATTATTGCTCCTGAGTGCTGCATAGTCTTCTATCATGTGACTATACCACAATTTCTCAATCCATTTGTTTGTTGATGGACATTTAGGCTATTTTCATTTTCTTGCTATGGTGAGTAATGATGCTATGAGCATTGGTGTACAGATCTGTTCATGTCTCATTTTTATTTTTCTCAGGGTATATTCCTAGTAGTGGAATAGCTGGGTCATGCGGGATTTCTATGTCCAGCTTTTTGAGGAAGTGTCAAACTGCCTTCCAGTGTGGTTGTATCATTTCAAAATCCCACCAACAGTGTATGAGAGTTTCAATCTTTCCAAATCCTCTCAAACATCTATTGCTTGCTGTCCTATTAAACTTGCTACACAGGTGAGATGGTATCTCTTTGTGATTTTGATTTGTATCTCTCTGATTATCAGTGATTTTGAGCATTTCTTCATGTGTCTGTTAGCCATTCAAATGTCTTCCTCTGTGAAAAGTCTT